ATCTGACACCTGCTACTGGCCTCTGCAGGCACCAGGCACACAGAGTACACAGACTACGTACAAGCAAAACACCCATACACATAAAAAAGGTTTTAAAAAATTCTGAGAAATGTAGACCTCTTAAAAATGAACCCTTACCCACCTAAAGGTGAATTGCTACTATTACTACACATAGGCAGATACACATTAACAAGATGGGTGGGCTTCTGAGCTCAGTGCCAGCCTAGATTAGCCAGCAGATTAGCAATTGTCTAGTCCCTTTCTGTTCACAATCATGTGACCTTGAGAGGCTGCTGTCTGCATCAACTCACCACCATTTTAACTCACAGGACTAGTCTGGAATAGGAGGCAGAGCTGTCTCTGAGTGACCTGAGTGCCTTGGTGGGGATCAGGTTCATGATGACGTGCAGTGCTTAGAAGCATGGCAGAGGCAGATGGGAACAGCAAGGGTGGCTAGGCAACACCACATACAGGGGTGACAGGGTGACGTTTTTCTTCCTTTTTCCTCCTAGATTCTAAAATATTTTTAAAGTTTTTGTTAAATGCATTTTTTACTTATTTTGAATAATTAACCTAAAAAGCTTTAGTTTTTGTAATACTAATAAGTCATAAATTTCTGTTTAGTTTTAAATATATGAAAGTTATGTGTAAGAGGTAAGTTCTTTTTAAACTGTTTGGTTAATAAATGAGCAACAAACCTGTGTGGTAGCAACAGTTCAATTGTGTGTGTGTGTGCACGCGCGCGCGCATGGATGCGTGTTGTGTGCATGTGTGCACTCAGATGTGCACCCCTGGGTGTGGAGGCCAAAGGAGGACATTGAGTGTCTTCCTGTCTGTCTGTCTACCTTAGTTCTTGGATCTCCCACTGACACTGAAACTTTGTGATTTTTAGTTAGGCTGTCTGGATAGCAAGCCCCTGTGGCACTTCTGCCTCTCTTCACCATATATAGTGCACTCAGTAATGAGGCCCAGGCTTCTGTCTCCAGAACAGGAGGGAGGAGATTGGAGGCCTTGCTAAATAACCCTGAGAGGGATGCAGAAGTGCCTCCAGTTGAGAATGACTGCTGATGTTCCTCTGCTGAGATTGGGTTTTCACTTCATTGACTCAGCTTTATATAATAACATGGGTTTCAAATTGAGAAAACGAAATAAAACCAAACAATTGATTTTTCCTATAGAATAAATACACCACAGATTTAAAACCGAGACCTTGTGTTTATTTGAAACAATAACCTTTAATTCTCCCAAAAGTGCATACACTTCCTTTTCAGAGTTTGGAAAGAGCAACATTCAGAGACAGAAGCAGTGGAGTCACGCTTGAGGGTTATAATGCTGGGCTGGCAGTGATTGAAATGGTTGTGGTAGGCGAGTGATATCAGGCAGTTTATTGGGCTCATTCCTGGGATACACACTTGTGTGGATGTGAATCCTGTGCCCAATCATCTGCTCCACTGAGAGAGCCTCTGATTACAAGGAGGCTCTGGTGGAAGCTGAGATGGATGGATGTGGGATCAGCAGAGGGCCACTTGCAGAGGGTAGGTGATGAGTGGGTGCCAGCCACCTTTTAGTTCTAATAGGATGTTGGTGGGAGGATCAGTCTTTAGAGGAGCTGGCTAGGTAGCTCTTTACACTTCTGTTATTTCGTTTGGATGTGCTTCAGTGGCTTTTCCAATAATACTGTAGTAATTAGATAATGCCGTTGGTCGTCCAAACTCCTGGCTCTGATTTTGTGTCTCATTTAAAATGGTGATCATGTTGCTCAATGAAATAAGGAATTTTTTTTTTTTTTTTTTTTTTTTGTCAAGGAGTCTGGGGTCAGTGAGATGGATCGGGGTAAATAGCTTGCTGCTGCACCTGGTAACCAGAGGTCAGTCTGTAGGTTGTACATGGTGGAAGGCAAGAGGCCACTCCCAGAAGTTGTTCTCTGACCACCACACAAGTGTACACATACACAAATAAGTGAACCAGAGAGCTCACCTCCAGGTTTGTCTCAGACTACCTCTAAATTTCTTTGTATCCTTCTTTGAATCTTTTAGAGATTGTTTAGCTGTTAAAGGGCATGATTTTTGTAGTGTCATGAGGTTAGACTCCAGACCTGCACTATCCCTTATTGACTGAGGAGTATTTGTTTTTGGGAAGCACTCTTCTAATTCTTCATAGCTCTCTCCTATTAGCTCCACTAGGGGTATTTATCAAATGCATCATTTAAATCGATGTTGAGATGATTCTTGTTGGTTTTGATATAATTCCAGCAGTGTCTGGTAAACACCAAACAAATGCTTCCTCAGTGAAGCTCTGGGTTAATGCGCCTTCACCATTCTGTTGGAAACATCTTTTTTCTCTCATATTAGGATTGGATTGGGGTGGTATGTGCAAGTTATTTGTAAAGATAATATAGTCCTCTCCATTATTTCAGAGCTAGTCTAGGAAGAGTTTGTATACACACTGTTGGTAAGTTCAGATCTCATAAGCCCTTAAGAATGGGGAGGACAGGACGTCTTGTGAGCCAGGAGATTGGCATTGCATTGTCTGTCTTCCTACGGAGCTTCAGAGGACGATTGGGGTAGATGCCAGAGAGGTGGGATCCATTTCTCTGAACGGAAAGGAGGAACAGCGCTTTTCTCCTTGTCTCATCAGAAAGAAGGCTCCTGAGAAAATGATAAACACATTTTGAAAGCTTAGGGATGGGAAAGAGTGTCCTGGAGCCTGACATGGGCATTCCTGGCTTGTGGTATACAAAGTGCCAAAAGAAAAGTTTTTATTGAAAGGTATCAGCCTCAGCTGAATGTGAGGGAGCACGACTTCAACCAAGTACTAGGGAGGCAGAGGCAGGAGAATCTCTGTGAGTTTGAGGCCAGCCTGGTCTACATAGTGAGTTATAGGACAGATAGGGACTCTCTGTAGAAAGACCCTGTTTCTTTTTTTTCTTTTCGTTTTTTCGAGACAGGGTTTCTCTTTATAGCCTGGGCTGTCCTGGAACTCTCTCTGTAGACCAGGCTGGCCTCGAACTCAGAAATCCGCCTGCCTCTGCCTCCCAAGTGCTGGGATTAAAGGCATGCGCCACCACTGCCCGGCAAGACCCTGTTTCTAAAAAACAAAACAAAAGCTATCAGCTAGCCAGCCTGCTTCCTTACCTCTTTGTCTGTCTATCTGCCTACCCACATCTTCTTCCCTCGTCTTTTGTTTCTGGTTGTTTTTTTGTTTGAGGCAGTGTGTCTTGTACACAGGCTAGGCTTGAACTCAACTGTGTAGCTGAGGATGACTTTGAATTTCTGATCTTCCTACCTATACCTCCAAGTGCTGAGATTGTGGAGATACATCCTGCACCTAGGTGATGTGGTGCTGGGACTGAACCCAGGGCTTCTTGTATACTAGGCAGGCACTCTCCCCGTTGAGTGACAGCTAGCCTGTTATGAGTTAGTTTCCAATAGATATTAAATTAACATTTTATAGTTGATTACATTGTTCAGAAAGTCCTATAGATCTAGTTTGCTATAAATTATAATCTCAGGCTGGAGAGATGGCTCAACAGTTAAGAGCACTTTGTTTTTCTTGCAAGACAACCAGGATTTGGTTCTGTAACTCGATCTCTAAAGGGTCTGATGTTCTCTTTTGATCTCCAAGGATACCAGGCACATATATGAAGGCAAAACACTCATGTACATAAAATAAATCAATCTAGTTGTTAACGAGGCATAATCTTTGAGCAAAAAATGAGTGAGGAGGCTGTAGGGCTGGACACATTTGCCAGCTCACAAAGGGACACACTTGCCTTTCTAACAAGGACACCTGCAGGCTGCTTCGTAGTTCTTATGTGCTTGCTGTGACACTCCCACTTTTTTCTTTCTTAGCAAATTGTACTAACAATTTTTTACATATACTTACAGCTTCACAATGCAGATTTCACTAAGGGAATACACAGGGTTAGAAAATGCCATCAGATAATACACTCATTTTCACATTGGTAGAATAAGATACTTGTATGGAATAAGTATTCTATAGACTTTTTTTTTTTAATTAAGAAAATACATACCTCCTTTGGTCAGAGTCTTTGAGTCCTGAAGATGATTTCATGACATTGTCTTTACAAACTCCATATAGGGAATTCTTAGATGAGTTCAGTCCAAGTTCTTTCAAGAATATTCTCTTGAAATGCTGTTGACAAAGTATGAGAAAATGTTTTATCTTTTTTTTTTTTTTGATCAACAGATCCTCTTTGAGCCTGCCCTTTTAATTACAATATAAGGAGAGAATAGATTCTGTGTAAAAATAATCCTAGAGGCATTGTATGTTGTAGTGTTACTGGTGACTTGAAATTAATGGGAAGAGATTTGACAGACCTTATGATAAACATCTCCCTTAGTTTTAACATTAAAACGTTGGGAACATAGTCATCTCAGAGTAGAACTTTCTCTGTAGTGAGCTAGACAGGCAATATCTGAGGACTCTGGGCTGTGCATTCTCTGTTGCAACTGCTTACCTTTGTGGATGAATGCAGAAGCCCTGTGGTATATAAATGCATGCATATGGCTGCCTCTAATAATACTGTATGTACTTTGAAGCTTGAATGTGGGTTCTACATGTTAGAAAATACTCATTTTTGAGATTTTTTTTTTTCCAACCACTTAAAACTGTGGAAAGCACTTGCCAGCATCTGCACTCAGCTGCACAGGTAAGCAGCGTGGCAGAGAACAGACAGCTCACAGAGTCCTCATGCGTTAGACCAGAACAAGAAGAAAGAAGGAGAACAGGCTAGTGCTTGTGGTTCCCTGTGGCTTTTCTAACAGTGGCTTTAAGTATTTTGAAACTAGTTTAATATGTACGAGTTTTAGCATTCTTCTCTCATCTTTTGAGGGGAGGATGGATAAACTTTACTTGTGTCTTCTGTGTGAAATTTTCGTATCAGATTGGCTAATGGGCTGAACCGAAGTTACAGAAGCAATTGGAATATAGTTTTTGACCAGAGTTGCTGAGTTCCCTTGTCTTTTTTTTTTCCCCAGTGAAACTAGCAGTGTATGCAGCAGCAGTGACACGGGGCTCTTCACCAATGATGAAGGACGGCAAGGTAATCTTAAAGTGTTAAAGGCTTAATTTTTTTAATGACTTATTTTTAAATTTATAAATTCTGTATACACCTGTGTGTCTGAGTATGGGTAAGTACATGTGAGTGTAGTCACTCACAGAGATCAGAGGAGATTATTAGATCCCCTTGGGGCTGGAGTTAGAGGCTATTGAGTGAGCCGCCTGATATCGGTGCCGGAAACCAAACTCTGGTCCTCTGGAAGATCACACTCTTAACTGCTTAGCTATTTCTCTAGTTCCCTGACAAAGTAATCTTGATTCCAACTTTGGGACTTTGTCTTAATGATTGAGTCCGGTGATTATGGAGTGACTTATTTAAGGTGTATAAATTTTCATTTGGAGAATTATAAAAATTTCAGATTTTCTGAGATGCTAGAAATCAAATACATTTGGAGTTGGTCCCTAGAATCTGTCGTTTTTATATGCCCCTAAAGTGGTTCTTATATAGTAGATTATCACTTGAGAATCATTGGTCCATGGGATCAGAGCGTCAAGGCTGAGCTTGTGAAAGTTTCTTTTAGTTATAACCAGTAATATTCTAATATGTAATTTTTTTTTGGGGGGGGAGTTCGACATATTTGTATTTTTACTGAGAGATAACTTTGATGTTATTTAAGTTTAAATGCCTGAAGATTATTATAGACTCATGTGAATAAATTCTGTAGTGTCCTGGGTGACTATTTAATAAATGTCTTTAAAAGTCACCGTATATCCCACTTAAATATGCATTTTATTTCCCTGAAGAAACCCTGACTGATAGTTTTTACCTGAGTGTGTGCATGTATGTATGTGCAAGTGTATGCATGTGTCTGCACATACATACTCTTGTTCCTTGTACCTGTTATCTCATGATTTTGTTTGTTTTTAGATGTTTTTAAATTTTATGTATATGGGTGTTTTGCCTGCACGTATGTAATATGTACCATGTGTATGCTTGGTGCTCTTGTAGATTAGAAGAAGGTGTTGGATCCCTAGAACTGGAGTTAGATACATGGTCATGAGGCACCATGTGGGTTCTGGGAACTGACCTCAGGTCCTTTGTAAGAGCAACAAGTGCTCCTAACTACTAAGCCATCTCTCTAACCTCTGCCTTTTAAAACATTGCTTATTGTGTTATGTATTTTTTTGTGCTTTCCTTGGAAGATCCACAGCTGGGAATTACTGGTTTTATATATTTACTTACTTCATTTTTTGTGTCTATGTATTTGCGCCTGAGTGTGTGCATGTGCACCATAGTGGTGCATGAACCTACAGAGGCTGGAGAAGGACTAGAGTCGTAGGACAGCTGGAGATGCTGTGTGGTGCTGGGAGCTGACCCCAGGTGGTATGCAAGAGCAGTACCTGATCCTAACACTGAGTTATCTCTCCAGCTCTTGGAATTATTTATAACCATGGCCCCTTAGACATTGCCTGGAATGTAAGAGCCCATGTTAAGTTGACAAACTCTGGTAAGTGTAAGCCAGGGTACAGTGAAAGCACTGAATTAGACTACTCCATAAGTAGACAAACTGTGTTGGGGTCACAGTGCCAAGGCTGTCTCTAGGATCTGGAGGCAGAGATAAACAAAATGGCAGGGAAGCTCTATGGTTTTGTATGGTAGTCTCACAAAGTCTTTTCTAGCTCAGCGAGTGATTTACCCCCACCCCACCCCATTTTTGTTTTTATTTTTTTGAGAGAGGGTTTTTCTGTGTAGTTCTGGCTGTCCTGGAACTCACTATGTAGACTGGGCTTTCCTTGAACTCTCAGAGATCTTCCTGCCTTTGCCTCCTGAGTGCTGGGATTAAAGGAGTGTGCCACCACATCCAGCTACAAGTCTTTTGAAAACTGTTTATTATTGGATCATGAGTGAATTGTAAGAACCAACATTCTGGATTAATTCATTGTCATAAAACATAACCTAATGGGTTTACCTGTTGCAGTGCATGTCCTGAGACATGCTCTGGATGAGAATGGAGTGGACATGTCAGATGCAGAAACTAGCCATGTCTACCAGTCCCTGTCCTGATCCCCCTGGGTCACTGGCTGGCTGGTTGTAGAATAGTGTTCTCAAATTCTGCTCCCACACATACTCAGCTTCATGAGGGAACTTACTAGTATTTGGTTCAAATCAGAATCAGAAGCTTTGGTAGATAGGGCCCAGCAGTCTGTGTGTCCATCATCTGGCCTGTGTCTTCCTTCCTGCCTGTTATCATCCTCTCACTTCTCCCACATCCTGGCTTTAACAAGCCCTTCTGGTGCTTCTGATGCTTGCCAAAGCTTGGGAGTCGCTATTTCTGAGACAGCTGTTTGTAGCTTGTGTTTATAGTGAGATGCTGTTATACACCAAAGAGCAACTTCTCTGGTGTTTGATGGTATAGCTACTGCTTGCAGGATGCAGGCCTCACTGCCCCTCTTGGAAAGTTCCACGTTCATTTTTAGAGTCATTATTTTGGGTGTCAGTGGGGAAGTAGGATCTGGTATGTGTTAGAGGACAAAGGCAGCATGGATTCTAGATGTTGCTGTAGTAGTTGACTGTACTCTTGCTGTCTGGAAAGGGGATGAGGTAGCAGACATGAAGCTGCCGCCTTCTTACCTGTCTTTTGTTGGCAGGAATACACTGTAATGGAAACCAAGCCGTCGCTATTTTAGCTAGTTGGAAATTTGAACCAAGAGTTTGGATATATGGGTTAGTTGGGACCAGTAGTGAATAGTAAAGGCTCAGGCAAATGGCAATTTCTTGAAAAGCCTTAGAGAGTTTTATTGCTTGTTACCATGGTTGGGTTTTTTTTTCCTGGAAGCTTGGATTTTGAGTTCAAACTTGTTTTCTGTCCTATCAATGAGATACCAAGGCCAAAACAAAGTATGGGCATACATTATTACTGGTCTAGTATGATAAAATATAAATATATAATACCCTTCAGCAATAACAGCTAATTTTTGAATTGAGGAACATTTATGGCTTTGAACTGTATTTATCTACACCATGGGTAATGGTCAGGAAGGCAGTTTGTTTTTTATAGAAAATACCTTTGGCTTCGTTTGTCAGGTTCTGGGTTCAAATTCTGACTCCATTCACTAGCTGAGCCCCAATTTCCAGGCATTCATTGCCTCACTATAAGTTGGAGCTATTGTGTGTTTTGGAAGAGATAAATTATTTGCCAGTTTTCCACATGGGTTCTCAAGGGCTTAAGGCTAGATCTTAGTTTTACTATTTAAATGGTGAAAGCATTCCACCTACATGAGGAACTAGGAAGACGCCTCAGTTTTCATCGTACTGTGTACCAAGAGGGACTGGACAGGTTCTTTGCACCTTGACTTACTTGAAAGTATCACAGCTTAGAGCCGCTGGCCGCCCCCCCCCCCCCAGAATTTAGATTTTATCGTGACAGCTCAGGACACAATCTGTTTGCTTTAGGGGATGATGAGCAGAGTGATTGGTTTTATGAAGGAGAATGTGTCCCTGGATTCACTGTCCATAATCTTCTGCCCAAGTGGGCTCCTGATCACTGCACTGAAGTAGAAAGGATGGACTCCGGACTGGATAAAGTCTCAGATCCCACATTCCTTTTACCTTCCCGGCCAGCTCAAAGAGGTGAGTTTGGAGTAGATAAAAGTCCAGGTCATGGCTTGATGGTTCTCTGTGGGAAGACTCAGCGTGCTCTGCTTAGGCACTTGCATGCCTCTGACCATGCAGTGCTCTCTCACTGTGGAGTTAGCTCAGGCAGGAGTCTAGGGGATTCAAGGGTGAGTCTCAAAGCTCAGTTCTCCTCCTAAGTCAATCCATGTAGGCTCTTGGGACACATAACCAGTGTGTGCTGCTTTTAGAGGCCTGGCATCAGTCACAGCCACACAGCATGGTAATGCTGATGCATTACTTTTTGAGTGCTTCTTGAAAGCTTAGAAGATTGGCTCTTACAAGGAATACGCTTTTGTAAGGACATTCACATATGTGATGTGAAATGATGGCATTTTAAAGTGGATGGTTTAAAAATACTTATTTAAATGTATTTGTTTTAATGATCCTCTTACTGTGTACTTTGACACAAATGCATATCTGCTTTTTTTCAGTTCTAAAGTAGCAGAATGGGTTGGAAAGGGCCCATGACAAGAGACAGAAATGATGGTACTTCTATTTTAGTTAGCTCCACGCTCCTGACCAAGTCATTTCACTGTTAGGAGTGTCAGAGCTATTGCCTAAAATGTGTGACAAAGAAGAGGACTGGTGTACAGATTTCTTTAGCTCTGTAACTTTAGGACCTTCAGAAAGTGGAAATCAACCATTGTCTAGTATCTGTTGGTGCTGAGCGTGGCTTACCTTCTAGCATACTGCTCACGACAAAGATTTGAACACAGTAAGTCTTTGCCATAGCCTTGTGAGGATGCTGGGGTAAGGGCTCCAGGGTACTACAACATCTCTTCTTATGCATCTCGTGCGTTCAGTAACTGAGGCCTTCTTTCTACAGGATACCATGGTCGCCTGAGTCGGTTGCCAGGAGCTGCAGCTCGTTGCCTCAGGAAGGGTCGGAGAAGGCTGACTGGGAAGGTGACAGATCTCATGGTTTCTCTGGTGCTGTGGGAAGGTGGTAGTCCCCATGGGATTTGCATGCCCTACTGACAATTGAAGGCATCACAGCACTCTCTGGAGTTAATGAAACCAACTGAAATGTTCTGGGAATTAAGAAGGGTGAATGACCATTATGTAGAATTTGAATGGATACAAATGTGAAAGATAAGCACTTTATCAACATAGAAGTTCTGACCAAGCAAACATTCCCTGTAGTCTCTATTGTGTGTAAAGCTGCTGGCTTGACCTCTCTCCTGCACTTGTGACTAATCATATATTATTGGATAAGTTAAAAATCTCTTTGACGTTTTTACAACTCCTAAATTCAGGAGCGTGTTTTTATCCTAAGAGGACTTTTATCCTAGAAATGATTTAAAGGGATGCAATAGTAAACACACAGATACAAGGAACCTCTCCCACACAAACAACACTAAGCTTGTTTTGCAGAAGTCCAAGAGCTCCTTGTGGCCCCAGGGCCACTCGCTGCTCCTTCAGTTCTGTTCTTGCTAGGTGCGTCTGTGCTAGGCACCCAGCCATTGATTCTTCCCACAAGAAGAACTTAGGTTTGGAAAAGTAGGAAACATTTGGCATTACCTGCATTGAAGTAATAGAGAAGAAACTTGGACCTAGGACAATGTTTTTCTTTTTAAATTGAATTTATCTTGTTATTTTTAGGTCTCTATGAAGTCCACACTGGCCTTCAACTTGAAATTATCCTAACTCCCTGAATCCTAGGGTTATAGGCATGCCCCTAGCACTTGACCTAATTTGTATTCTAGCTTGGAGACTGATAAATAGGCTAAGGCCAAGGTTCCCCATTCAGGCAGAGATGACAGTAAGGAAGAGTTTGTCAAGCATTCAGAATGCCTGCCTCAAAGTTGTCTGTTTGCCAAGCCATGCATGTGGTTGTTGGTCACAGTCTTCTGACTACTGCTTTGTACTGTAGTCTACCCAGAGAACTATTTTCTGAAGTTTAGGACCTAGAAAAAGAAAAGAAAAGAGAAGAAAAGAGGCGAGGTTGATTAATTTTTGTATATTTACTACAGAGGATGACTTGCAGAAGTCTCTTCTTCTACCATGTGGATCCTAGGGAATTGAACTTAGGTCGTGAGACTTGGCAGCAAGTGCCCTTACTTACTGAGCTGCCTCTCCAGCCAGATCTTCTTTCTTACCTTTGAAGTCCAGTTCCAGTCTCTAACTCATTGAGTCACAGGGTGTTTCTTTTGGCATGCTCTGTTTACACATGGACCTCTCGCTCCCTATGCTGTTTAGGGAGCTCGCCTGTGACTGGAGGCTTCTGTGTAGATAGGGTTAAGGACGATAGAAGCTTGGGAGTAGAGGACAGTGAGGAGGTTTGACTTCCCCTTCTGTTGAGCAGCAGTTATGTTCTCCCACCATCTGCTGCCTTGCTTTAGCTCATATAAAGTAAGAGCCTTCAGCTACCTGGAAGTGAGTTGCTTCATCTCTTCAGTGCGCCTGGGAGGTAGCTAGGCTTTATTGGACGTGCAGCTAACGATCTCAAGTGAATAGGGTGGTATGCACTTGTTCAATTCATCTTCATCACCTTAAAGGGAGATCTGTCATTTCTAGCAGAGGTCACTGCTCCCTCCCCTCCCCTCCCTCCCCTCCCCAGCTCCTCTCCTCTCTTTCTAAACTGTAATCATAAATAATGAGTTTCATTCACAGCTCCCTGCCAGTGAGCTGCTAATTACGTAAAGTACTGCTTGTAATTTACACAGTAATAAACTGTAAATTTAAATATTACGGCATTTTAAGTTAATAATTTTTCTGCTTTAATAAATAGCTCATTTTTCATCCATCTTTTCCCTTGGCCCTTCTACCATTCTCTATCTCTGACCTGGAGCCATAGCCAGAGGGATAAACAGTTAATGTGTATGGACCTTCCACTTAGCTCCATCCGTGTGCAGAATCTGATCTCAAATTAACTTTTCTAAAGCTGGTGCTTCTACTGAAGTGTGTTCCTGCTCTTTAGGTTAATCCATCCCCATAGCTGAATACAAATAACATCTGCCAGATAACAGGTGTGTTTGAGTAATGCTGACACTTATGCCTCTGATGCGACCTGTCACCTTACTCTGGTTTGTGACTCTGGGCTCTGTGCGGTTGCTGTGGCAAACATCATGTAAATATGCTACAGTTCCGGGAGGAGAGTGCCTTCACTGCAGCGGAGGGGACTGGCCTGCTGTGGGGTTCCGGATATGCTTTCACACGGAGTCCAGAGAGCCCTGAATGGAAGAGTCGGTTTATACAGCCTTCTTGCTTTTACTTTGAAATGATGTGCAAGGGACAGGACACAGTGATAATCCTTTTGGGTTTTGTTTCTTGTGGTGGTAGGGACTGAACTCAGGGCCTTGTATATGCTAGGCAAGCATCCTGCCACTGAACTGTGCGTTAGTAGACGGTTCTTTAACACACGGATATGTAGGGTATGTAGGTTTCATCTGTGGTGGTTGTTGAGCCTCAGTCAAATAGCTCATGAGCGTAGTGTGCTCTTCTGTTAAACCTGGCTCCTGTTGAATTTGGTGACCTAGAGCTCCATTCTCAATACTGGGGAATCTGGAGCAGGCTTTGAGGGCAGCTTTACCTACATGGTGAAACCGTGTCTCAAAACAACAACAAAAGTGAGTCTTCTGAAAAAGTTTCTTTACTTCTTTATACTTTAATACTGTAGGAAGTATTATTATATTAATACTCCAGGAAGTATTCCTTTTTTTTTTTTTTTTTTTTTTTGGTTTTTTGAGACAGGGTTTCTCTGTGTAGCTCTGGCTGTCCTGGAACTCACTCTGTAGACCAGGCTGGCCTCGAACTCTTGAACTCAGAAATCCACCTGCCTCTGCCTCCCAAGTGCTGGGATTAAAGTATTCCTATATTAAAATTGCATACACATGTAGATTGTAAATAGTGTATACACATGTTGCAACATTATTTGGTATTAGTTTTATATTTCACTTATGTGCCAATCAAAAATAAACTTATGGCTGGAGAGAAGGCTCAAGCCAGTGAGGCATTTCCAGAGGACCTGAGTTTGTTCCTTACCCATGTGAGATGGGGAAAAAGCCTCAGGTGTGGTGGCATGCTTGTAATCCCAGCACTGGGGAGATAGAGGCGGATATACCTGACGCTCACTAGCCAGACAGCCGTATCTGTATGGGAAGCTCTGGCTAAGATGTAGACAATGCCTGAAGAGCGACACCGGATGTGGTCTTCTGGTTTCTGTACATACACACACTGATGCGTGCTGGAGACGGTCCTCTGGTTTCTGTACATATACACTCTTACACATGTCTACACACATGTACTGTCCCACATATTTACACAAAGCTAATTTTAAAACAGAAGAAGCCCCAAGTCCAGCAAACAGTATTTACAACAGCCTTTTTAAAGGCTTTTTTCTTTCTTTTTTGGATCAGCATAGTTGCTGTTGGTTTCTAAGGTTGACACAACCTTGAGGCTGCTTGGCTGGCATAGTTAGGGAAAATTTGAGCTTGGTGACAGCTTGCATTGTCTACATTTGCGTCTGTGGTTAGATGACACTCTTGTTCTTGTCCTCTTAGGAGACCAGCATAAGCAGCCTGGGAACCGAGAGGATCAGCCATACCATCAGTGATCCCCAGCAGACAGAGTAAGTGACTGAGCGCCCACTGGCTGGCCTAGCCTGTTCCTTGGAGATGGAGGCAGAGAAGCCTTTTCTAAAGCAACCTTTATATTAGACTTGAGAGCTGAAAGAGGAGATCTTAAAGATCGGTGCTTCCTAGCAGTTAAGATGGCTGAATTCAGGCTGGCAAGATGGTTCTGTGGCTAAAAGTGCCGCCTGGTGTTGAATGTGATGACCGGAGTTCAGTCCCAGAGTCCGTGTAGTGGTAGAGAAAAGAGCCAGCTCTACAGGCTTGACCTCTGACCCCGAAAGTGTGCCGTGACACACACAAGAATTAAAAAATAAGATTTTAAGATGGCTAATGTCCCAAAATTATAGTATGGTTTCCTTTTCCCTTCCAGATTAGTGTTTGTTTTGTGTCTGTTGTATTTCTAGGTGTTGTATTAGTTAGTGTCCACCCCTAAGATGCCATACTTTATTTATTTTATTTTATTTTATTTTATTTTATTTTATTTTATTTTAAAGCCAGGTTTATTGGGAAGCTGCCTCTGGCGAGTTCAGTGGCCCCAAGGATTGAGGCCAGGGGAGTTACCCTGGGGAGAGAAGAGGGGAGGGGGAAGAGAAAAAGAGAAAGGGGGTGCGCACAGAGAAGAGGAGAAGAGGAGCAAGATGCCATATTTTAAATGCATTTTTCTCTTTTAAAAGTTTTGTTTTAATGGAGTTAGGGGAAGGACTGAAGGAGCTGAAGGAGTTTGCAACCCCATAGGAAGAACAACAGTATCAACCAACCAGACCCCCAGAGCTCCCAGGGACTAAAACTACCAACCAAAGAATATACATGGAGGGACCCATGGCTCCAGCTGGATATGTAGCAGAGAATGGCCTTATGTGGCATCAATGGGAGGGGAGGAGGCCTTTGGTCCTGTGAAGGCTCCATGCCCCATTGTAGGAGAATGCTAGGGCGGTGAGACGGGAGTGGGTGGCTGGGTGGGGGAGCACCCTTGTAGAAGCAGGAGGAGGAGGGGTGGGATAGGGGGTTTGCAGAGGAGAAACCAGGAAGTGGGACAACATTTGAAATGTAAATAAATAAAATAACCAATAAAAAATTAAAAAGAAAAAAAAATTTTTTTTTTTTGTTTTAAATAGTCATTCCAAATGGCTGATTGCTTCTGTTCTCCTTTAGACCTCTTTAAGGAGAAATCTTTTTGTCCTTGTTACCCTGATGAATACAGTGGGAAGCCCAAATGTAACTGTTCAGGAATCATCTGCCTTTCTCATAAAAGCTTCATCTCCTAAACAGTTGGCTTTGCTCTGTGTTTTACCTTCCTACTCGGTGTTCCGTGGCAGAAATTTAAATGTTTGCTGAATAAATACATACATTTTGGGGCTGGAGACATGGTTTGGTGAGTCAAGCATAAGGACTTGAGTTTGAATCCCCAACACCCACATAAAAGTGCAGGCGTGGCAGGCCTGCCTGGAATACCTTCCTTTGGGAAGTAGATCCCAGGGCAGGCTGGCTAGCAGTGACCTGTAGGGGTCAGTGAGAGACCTTGGCTCAGTTAATGAAATGGAGTGTGATCCAGGAAGGCATCAGATATCAACCTGTGGCCTGCACACATATGTACACCTATGCACTTACACACTGCAGACACATACACATACCATACACACCTACACATGAAAGAAAGCCCCACATTTGTATATGCTAAAGCATCTGTATGACTTATATGCTGTGGTCAACACCCAGTGGTAGTCCTATACATGTCTCACCTAGTCTACTCCTGGAGTCAGAGCTCTCTTCTGACTGTACAAGATAAGGGCTGGCAGGCTAGAGTCAGGGTCACTTCCCCCATGGCTGGTGTTCTTCTTGGGCTGCGTGTCTCCCAGTCCTCTGTCTTCCCTGCAGTCCACCCCCTTTCTCTTCCCCTGCACTTTTCCAAGCTCCTCTTACCGTCTTCTTTCCTGTTGTTCTCTCTTTAGTTTCTGGTTACCATCAGCTGGGAAAAGAGAACGCAATCAGGTAAGGTCACTCTTCGAGGCCATCTTTATCATTCAGTTTCCTTTTCTTTAGAAAGAATAAAGCATTAGCTTCTGGTTTTCCTCACATTTCTGCTTGTGCACATGAGGTGAGTAAGATTTGCTCTCTGCCATTACATGACTTTTTTGAGAGCTGTGTTCTTCAGCTGCCTCACACTCATCTATGAGAACTGTAGCCAGTTCCTTCTTAGGTTCTGCTGCAGATGTCAGCTTCTTATTAATAACACACATTTCAAGGGAAACCTGGTTTTATTTTGGTTTGTCTTTTCTCTGGCTCCTCCTTTAGGGGGGCCCTGATATATCAGGCCTTTGAGTGGTATCCATGATTTAAAAATGACTTATGGTAGTGGTCATGGTTATGTTTATAGATTTTGATCCATTTTTGGTTCAGAGGTAGGGTTGCTTTACCTTAGTGAAATTGATGGAGACTGGGGTTGGGGGGAGTTCTTAGGCTTCCTCTTGCTCCTTGGTTGGTGGTTGGTCTTTTCGGCTACTGTGTAGTTGCTTATTACATTACACACGTTGTAAAGTTGACTGTGAAGTTGCTGGCTCACAATTAACTAGAGCAGTGGAAGATAAAACCAGTGTGTGTGTGTATGAGATGATTTTAGGTCATGTATTTTAAGTTATATATTATAATATACATTAGAAAAAGTGTAATTACTATGTCAAGCTTACTTTGTGGAAACAGAACAAAGCTGAATATAAGTAATTGGTGTAAAGGAAAGTTCTAGATAAACAGTAGTGCAAGTAGTGCGCAGACAAGGAAAGGGTCATGAAGGTGTGTGGTGTGCAAGAGACTTGGGACTGTTAGGCTAGAGTGTGGATCGTATTTGCTTCAGAGCATTCAGAGGCAGAAGGGGCCTTGTGGCTGTCACTTGCTGCACATCTGTGATGCACAGTGAGGAACATGCACCATGAGTTTCAGCTCTTGTTCCCAAGTTGCAGAGCAGTGTATACCAGCTTAGTTTCTGTTCTTTGTAAGTCCATTTCAAGTTACCACTCAAGTTCTTTCTCTCTTAAGTCATTAAGTTATCCATTTTCTTCTTTTTTTTTTAAAATATTTATTTATTTATTTTATTGATGAGTACACTGTAGCTGTCTTCAGACACACCAGAAGAGGGCATCCAATCTCATTACGGATGGTTGTGAGCCACCATGTGGTTGCTGGGATTTGAACTCGGGACCTCTGGAAGAGCAGTCAGTGCTCTTAACCGCTGAGCCATCTCTCCCGCCCTAAGTTATCCATTTTCAAAGGAATGCTTATTGTGGACCAAAAGTGTTGTGCTTTGTACACAGTACCCCATTTGATCCTCAGTGCTTTGTACACAGTACCCCACTTGATCCTCAGTGCTTTGTACACAGTACCCCACTTGATCCTCAGTGGGATCAAACCTCAGTGGTTTGTAGTTTTGGTGCTGAGGATGTCCTGCTGACACGGGCACTGAACTCTTCACTCTGTCGCAGTCATCTTTTAAGGTCAATAGAAATTGAAATTTCTTTATGACCTGAAAAGCAGAACTTGAACGAGCCAGTAATCCCATTGTAAGACAGGTGAGATGGCCAGTGTACATCCTGGAGAGCAGGCTAGCAAAGCTTGCAGGTGATGCCACTCTTAAATGTACATCCAGATGGGCACTCTAACTCCAGGCACCGTCTCTTACACTGTACTTAGACTGTGCACTGGAGTGTGCTGTGCCATTGTCCCTGACAAGGTAATTTCATGGTAGCCCTCTTGGGAAAGGGCTTGATACACTGGGTATTTGCAAGGTGTAAGTTCCTGGACTGTCCATTGAGAAGTACTGTGTTTGGCCTTTAAGTGATTATTGCATGAAAGTTTTGTTTGACAGGCAGTAGTTGCGTTTGCTCTGTGCTGGAACATTTATGGACATAAGGTTAGACATGCATACCCTTTTTGAATGGTATTGGTGTTTATGGCAGGAGGGTTGGGATATTGTTAAAGAAAGCATGTAGGATGCCTTTTGGAATCAGGTCTGTTTGATTTAAGCCTTACTGAAATAATCTCATTCATCCCCACAGTTTAATCCACTCTCTCCTCTTTACTCCCTGGACGTTCTTGTTGATGCTTCTCATCAGAGGTGCTCACCTGCACACTGCTCTGCCAGGTAATTGGCTTCCAGTGGCTATTATTTTCTTTTTGGAAAATTCTGTGTTCCTTTTCATAACCCTTGAGATTATACGGTGTATGTGCAAAGGACCCAGTTTGATCCTCACAACAATCTTCAGAGGTAAGTTGGAGTTTCACAGATGCAGAAGCGGGCTGAGGCCTGAGGAGCTTTTCCTGTGATCACGTGCTTCTGTGATTCAGTCTGACCTGGGTCTCTGTCTTCTGGCTCCCATTTCACATTATTTCTGCTGCTAAAAGCCCATCCTCAAAGCACATTATTAATGCCTCTCGTCCTGACCTGCAAAGCCCTGTATCATCTGATTTCTGCCAACATGGCCACCTTCCTCTTATACAGTCCTGCCCCCTCTGAGTGGAGAGAGCAGACAGTACCAGAGAGCTCCATTTTCTTCTTATAAAATGGCAGCCCTTCCTGCCTTGGACCTTTCCCCTCACTCCCTTTGCCTGGAAAGCTCTTTGAACTCCTGGATGCCTAGGGCCCACCTGCAGCACCATCTGATTACTGTGTCTGTTTCCCCCACGGTGCTTACCTTGTCTGTCATGACTTTGTATACTGATTTCTTTAAAATCCCACCCCTACCCATACCATTGCTTTTCTCAGTGTGATGCAGAGAGCTGTCTTCTTCCCTGATAAATCCCAGCACACAGGTCTGGCACTTGTTAGACATTTTGTTTGTCACGTCATTACCGATTCTCTTAATTCAGGTGACATGGAAGTTTGATGATGATATTTCTTAGCAGTGTTACTGTGTGTAAAACAGTAACAGGTTAGACAAAAGAATTCTTGCTTTATTTTTGGTAGCATAAAGGGTTTCTTCTCCAAGGTTATAATGCTTTTTGTGTTGTTGTTTTGTTTTGGGTTGGTTGGTTTTGTTTGTTTGTTTGTTCGTTTGTTTGAGACAGACTCTCCCTCTCATGTGTAACCCTGGCTGTCTTGCAGCTGGCCTTGAACTCACAGAGATCCACCTGCCTCTGCCTCACAAATGCCTGTCTTCTGACATCATCATCATCATCATCATCATCATCATCATCATCATTGTCTCTTAAGTAAATGTGCTCAGACTTGTCCCATAGACGACACAGTAGAAATGAACTGTTCTTTGGACATAGTTCCGTAGGGTTTGGGTGATGAGCCATAGTTCCTAACCTGCTGCTAGATCTTTTTGCTAAGAAGTGTTTTTGTAAGGAAAGTCTTTTGAGAAGAAAGGCCATTGTAAATAGTGTTGCTATGAATGTGGAATAGTGGGGTGATACAAACTTTTCCCGTACGCCTTTCCATCAGTGTCAGGCTGCCTGATTATCATTCGTTCACTCATTCATATATATGGCATTGCTGGCTCCCTACTATGTGCTAGGCTCTTTGTCTATAACTGAAGCTCTGATGAAAGAATCTGGTATGGAAACTGACAGCCATGATAAAAGTCTGCACAGAAGAGCTGTGACACACAGAGGCAAGGCTCCTCCTGCAGGCCATGGGAAGTTTCCTAGATTTTAGTTCAAAGAAGAGCACACCTCTCTATTTGGTCTTGATACGAGAGCAGTGGCTGTGTGTGTTCTTTGGGACAGCCAGCTGAGCGCCACCACACAAATCCGTCATACAGTGGATTCCTCCACCCTCCTTCTTCATGTCCACTACCTGGGCTGCTCTAAGGGGAGCATTACCACTTCTTCCTACATTAGAAGCCTCGCCCGTGGCCAGAGCCCAGAGCTGGATTCCTGATCCTCTGTGCGTCCTGTTAATGTTATTATTGTTGCTCTCCTGACTGGTGATGTGTGTGTCTAGCCTTGGAAACATTAAATTAGTCTCAGCCAAGCTTCTACTGCACGCAGCTGAGGGGTGTGCTGCCGTTGCTTTGAGCTCTTGCTAGAAGCAAAGGAGAGAGACTGGAGACAGTTGCCAGTTGTCTTTGTCTTATCTTTAGGTAACAGTCCAGATTAGTAGGCTGTATGCATGCTCGTTGAGTTTGGGGGAGGAAAAAGTTTGAGTTAACATCCATTACCTTACCCTTAAATTTTTCTCTAAGTTATATGTTCGTCCTAAAACCACACGTGTATGCAGTCTCCCTCTGTGTGATATGTATAATATCTGCTGTTCCTAATGGTTTTCACTCAGTGAAGCACGGCAGACGTCCGAGGAGAAGGATTCAGAAAACAGGAGTGAGAACTGCTGAGTTCTTGGCCATAGTGCTCAACCCCTTTATAGGGATGAGGTCCCATGCCGCAAGGTGTCACTGCAGCAGGACCTGTCTAACGCCAGCGTGGAAGATGGGGTTAGAACTGTGCAGTGGGTTTAGGAAGAGTGGACTGTTCAGCAGAAGCCCTGCATCAGTCAGGGACAGGGTGTGGAAGAGCCTAGTGCTAGACAAGAGACCACCAAGTGACCGCACTGAAGAGTTTATCTTTTCCTTGCCCCATTTTATTTGTAGTAGGAAGAAATTTCTTTCAAAGCTTCTGGGCAGCACTGGGAATTTTACACCCATCATTAGAACGATTTCTGCGCGTGTGTGGTGACTGTGTTATCATTAGTGGTATAATTTTATTTTGCAAAGAGAGAAGTGTTTCCTGTTTTATCGAAGCTTTCCCTGAGGAGGGCTGCTGTATTAATTTGCTGTATTGCCTCCTGGCTGTTCCCAGGCTGTTTTTCCTCTTCATCATGGAATTTTTAATGGCTCTCGTCCCTCCTGGGAAGCATGTGAGGAAGAGTTCCTCGGGGAGTGCTTCCCCCTTTTCACATGCCTATAATTACTCTCCTTTAAGAGCACAAAGAGTCTGATAATCATGCCTGGGCTCTGAAGCTTCCCTCCTGTCAGGGATCTGAGCTGAGCTACCTCCTTGCTGGACACTGCCGGTTGCACTCAGCTCGACTTCAGCATCTGAACATGGCCACCTCAAAAGCCACATACAGCCAGGGATTTCAAAATAAGCTGAGGCCACTGGGATGTGGTGAGTGACCTCAAGTTCTGTAGTCTAGCATCTCACTATAATCAAATAACTAACGAGACCTAGTTTAGGGCAACACTGTGTGGATGTGTCATGTGCCAGGTGTAGGGCCCAGGAAGGAGACTTGTCGTCGTCGTACCATTCAGTAAATATGGAGATTTACTCTAAAAATACTTAAGTTTTCAACCCTGACTCTACTTGACAGTCATTTGAAAAACTTTAAAAGATGCATTTATGGGCAATAAGGGAAATTACTTAATTGGTAAGGACTTGTACAAACAGTGGGAACTGAGTTTGATCCCTAGCACCCATTTTTTTTTAAAAAAAGTGGGGTGCCACAGTGTGGATCTGTAGTCTCAATACTAGGCAAGCAGAGACAAGAGAATCCCTGGGGTTTGCTGGCCAGCCACTCTAGCCAAATCAGTGAGCCCCAGGTTGGAAAGGGATTGAGGAAGACACCTAATACCAACCTCTGGTCTCCACGCTCATATATGTGCACCTGTATGCAAACACACACACACAAACACACAAAGACACATACATGGACATACATGCACACAAACTAAGAACAATAGCATCGACCATCCACGCTGAGTCTGGCCTTCACAGATCCTATATTGCTGGTCTGGGGCAAGGCCCAGGCATTGGCATGACCTTACAGCTTCTGAGGTGACTGCTAGGCAACCGGGGTTAAGGACTGTTGCCCTAAGTAGCGATGGTTTCCCGGCTGGTCCTTAAGAGGAGCACCTATTTTGTAACTGGTATGGGTTCCATGCTTTGGTATTGTGAGCACTGTTCTTCCTGGAGGCAGACCACTGGGATTCCTTTAGCTTGAGAGAATCCATTCCAGGTGAAGAAGAGTGTGCGGCACATAGCTGATGAATGAGCAGGTGGGGTGTGGTTGGGGTCGGGGTGCATGAACACTTGGATGTCTTCATAAAATCCATATAGCTGTTTTAGTTTAGTTCTGTTTGCTAGCATTGGCATTTGCTGTTGAAGTAGTAATGTGCAGTCTAAGAGTTGCTGGTACTCAAACAGCAGATGGGGTGATTGGGTTCTGCTAGAGACTGTGCTATTGTAGACAAATGAGACCAGAGTTGTAGCAGCTTTTCCCCAAATGAGTTTGATGTTACTATGTACAGAAAAGGGGTGATTACTAATTGCTACATCTCTCTGGTCCATGTTAACAGCCCATGTTTTTTAATGCTTTATGGACTTCTAGTTTTCTCTGATTCCTGTGACCTTTCCTCTGTTCTGGGTGGTGATTTGGAAATGCATCCATTTCCAGTTATTCCCTAAGTTCTGCAATCGGGAAACACTTGTTCTAGTGTCCATGTGTTCCCCTCCCCCCATGTGTGCACCAGATAGACCAGTTTCCTTTTAAGTAATTTTTTCACTTGTGAAATCTTATTTTTAGTTGATTAAGGATGATAGATCTCCAGGCATGTATTCATAGAATATACATGAATTTTCATGAGAGAACGAAAAGTCACATAGCTTCTCCTGTGGTCTTCATTGCTCGTGAGATGTTGGAAGGAGACATAACATTGTGAGCATGGGTGTTAAATGTATGGCAGACTCACTCGGGAGAGAGTGTCGGCTTTACTTGGGCAAGCACTTAACCTCCTTGTTCCTAGGTTCCACATGTTTGAAGTGGAACTTTTCTTATGGGACTAGTGGGGATCAAAGTGAAATGATGTATGTAAGTATTCAGTAGCCTGGCAACCACACTTCCCTATCCTATTCTTAGGATGATTTCAATTTTAAGACCTTTGAGCTGGCTCCAGACTTCTTTACTAATAAGATGCTGTGCAGATTCTTGAGAAATTTAAATGGCCTCAAATTGACTCTTAAGAAGAAACATTTGGACAGTGTTGACAGAGAGAGAGAGAGAGAGAGAGAGAGAGAGAGAGAGAGAGAGAGAGAGA